CTGGATTCCCCAAACATTCAGCCAAACTGATATATTGGATTCATTCTATCTATTATAGTTTTCGAGAATCAAATGAAATGTGAAACACTGCTTTTTCGAACGTTCTCATTTCAATTTTTCAATTTTGAACGCGTATTACAGCAACCTGGATAAGAGCACAAGTATGTATGCTGGATTCCCTCACAATTTTAAAGTACAAATGAGCATGCGTTTGATTATTAATTATATTTTGACACTTGCTGGATTCTCTAAACATTCAGCTTTCATATGCATATATTGGATTCATTCTATCTATTATAGTTTTCGAGTAAATCAATGAAATGTGAAAAACTTTTCGAACGTTCTAATTTCAATTTTTCAAATTTGATCGCGTTTTACAGCAATATGGATAAAAGCACAGGAATGTATTAATACATGCTGAATTACCCAAACATTCAGCTTTCATGTGCATATATTGGATTCATTCTATCTATTATAGTTTTCGAACAAATGAAATGTGAAACAGGGCAGGGCTGTAGCATTTATACAAAATATGTTTACATTGCAAATATAATAATAATATGTAGTAAAGGATATTTTCAACTAAATTGTTTTCACTGCAATATAAGTTATGTCGAATTGAATGGATTTATTCAAATAATCGTGTTTTTCTTTGTCTTGTTCGCCAGATTTAATCAGGAATAGAAGGGAAATGGGTTGGGAGAATCCGTGAACGGTGAAAAATAATTGAGGTTGTTTACTCGGGAGTAAGTAAGACATGGAGAAATAATGGTGAATCCCCTTTATTTCGCAGGAACAGACTGCGGACTTCGTGGGTGGATGAGGATGAGGAGAAGACAGGGGTGGAGGGTGGAAGCACGCTTTGTCCTTCACGAGCGTGTAAATGGCGAAAACCACGATTGCGGAAACTGAAAGAGTGGTTTGTGCTTTAAGGCCAGATTACACGTTTCAATTTAACTGTGCAATTCGAAGGAGCTGCACAAACGACGGAAAGGGTCACAATTGAAACCGTCGACAATACAAAAGGGGGACAAGTTTAATTGCACTCGGTGCCATTATCTAGTTAGCGGTATTCATGGTGCTAAAGAACTTCATTTTCGTAAGCATTTTAATTCTATTTATCTTAGTCTTGAATTTGATTAATTTATGTTGTTATTACAAAACACATCTATGCTAAAATTGAAAGTCACAACTCTCAAGTTATATTCATTGTGTTTTTGCTTCAATATAATTATTCAATACTAATAATAGCATTCTTGGTTGGTTTGAATCTTTAAGATTAGTATTGGATTTTATCGTTTCGGATAATTCAAATTTAAATAAATAGAAACTTTGCATAAATTCCAGATGTTGGTCAAATTCGACTGAGAAATATTTATGAAAGTGCTAATCCGATTTCGCTGACACGAGCGTAATTCATTATTAATTTACACACAGTGCCTGCGGGCGAACAGATTTGTCGTAATTGGGTCAACTGGACTTAGCTTAATCGGCGCGTGTTCCTTCGTCCGACCAACTAAAGTCCTGCAACCGTTAAAAAAAAGGACATAAAATAAACAACAATTCGAATGGGTTTACGGGCGATGCGCGTAAGGAATGGTGAAGTGGAAAACTGTTGGCTCAAAGTTTCACGTTCGCGGTCTGCAAAACTTCATACATCCATTAAGAACGTTGAAGGCAGGAGATCTTAATGGGCGGTACGTGCGTTCATAAATAGACAAATTGCTCGTACGACGAGCTTAAGGGCTTTTAATATAAAAGCGCGTAACTTCTTCCTCTCTTTTTTTTTGTATTGTTACACTCCACCTCGTTCGTAGTTTTTTTT